TATGTGAGCATATTATGGTTGATTTAAGAATAGTTTGGCATAGAGAATGTAATACAAACATTATGCAAAATAATAATCTTTATGCAACATAAACATCTAACATTTTAACAATTAAAAACAAATATAGCAAATACATTATTATTATGTGTATATATATATATATATGTACATATATATATATATATATATCTCCATACATTGTTAAATTTATAATTATATTCAGTTCGAGTTATTTTTAATTATTTCTGTAGGTCGCTACTGCTCCTCAATATGTCATTAATTAATTTAAAATAATGCAGTTAAATAATTTAACTGAAAAATGTGTTACATTTGCCTCATATTTATTATTTATTAAATGCATACGTTAAAATGGACGTTGTTTACTTTGAAACTAACTACAGAAATGAATTGATTGTATATTTTAACAGAAAGTTAAAAATAAAACGTTATTTAACTTGAGGCATTAGATTATTATTACTCTTTTGATATCTAAATGCGTTTGTATAAATTTAACTATATTCCACGTAATACAAGTAAAAGGTAGATTATGTCCATTTATGAGCGAAGGTTCCCAACGACGACGACGACGACGACGACGACGACGACGATGATGAAAGTGGCGTCATGGACTCGATGCGAGAAATAGACGCAATATACACGAAGTCCGTGTTTAGACGTTAGCTATATAGGACCATGCTATCATGGATTATATGTATCCCTTTATTTGTAGATAAACTAGTGCGCGGATGTGTGTACAAATGGCTCAAGTCGGATTTTCATCTTGTCCACGAACAAGATTCGGGTAATCTTATGTACATTCAAAATACATACACAGTGAGATACCGTACTACAGTTTATCTATTATTTTTTCCAAAGAACGCTAATGAGTTCTTAATTGAACGATTAACTTGGCAAGATTAATTCTCGCCAATCGATATAAGAGATGTTGCATAGGATGGGAAGGGAAGGGACGTTCGAATCGAAGATTCTCATGATGAAACTGCGCAGCAACATAGGTATCTTCAAATAAATACGATTCCCGGCGTGAGCGCGCGCACTGTTCCGAGCGAAAGATTTATTTTCGCCGCACATTCTGAAATGATGACCTTTTACGCTGGATTTCGCCCCACGCGCGTTACGTAGGAAAGATACAAATCACTTCTGGACGTTTGGCGGTTACAGACGGGGTGCATTCTACCGTATATATACTCGAAACCCATCGCTCGCTCTCTTCAAGAGCAAATTCCGTCGACACATACAGCCTTGGCCAAAAATATTAGGTATACTTATAGATCATTATTTAAAGCTTTAGCTCAAAAATTGATTTATGACACACTAAGAAAAATTTTTGTCATTTGTAACTAGAATTACTTGTTACTGTAGTTAGGATTATTACTGCTACAGTGTTAGTAATGATATATGTAGTTACTATTACATTGTAACAATAATAATCATTATTATAGTAATATTATTATAGTAGTCAACAAATATCTCACCTCAAATTTTTTCTCTCAATGTATTTGCTGCAAATTATCTTTTATTTCCAGAAATTTCCTTTTATTTCTTTTATACTTTAAAAACTTACTTAAGTAAAATGTCATTATACATAATCACCAATAGGAAACAATGCAGATAAAAGAATTTTAAGTAAATAAAAAAATATAGATGCTTGATATTTTTGACCAAGGCTGTATCTCGAATGGCTGAATGGTCTCCAAAATTCATTTCGCACGTTCCACTCCATCCACTCAAATCGGGTATAGTCGTGTCTAAATGTCTAATTAAATCGTAATTACATATTAATATTTTTGCTTTATTAATCTCATTTTTTATCCTCAATTTTTTCGCATGCATTTTGTTTTTATCGCTCAGTACATAAAAATATTATTAATTTTTACGGGAAAGAGTGTTATATATTTTGTGGCAAAGAAATATAATAAAATAATGAATTATAACAAATTTTATTTAAGGAAAAGCTATAAGATTTTAAAAATAAACTTTCGTGCTCTTAAAGTTAAAAAGTTACTTTTTGTATTAATTCTCTCAGTTATATTTCTTAGCTTGACACACTATTGTTAAAATATTTCTATTTTAATGAAAATAGTGATTTGAAAGTAGGTATTTATAATTAAATAAAATGAAGAACAGTACGATTTATTATTTAAACGTAATAGTAATATTTGAATTATGAATGACAGCTTTATACAATGCTTTGTTATCGATGGAAAGTGCGTAACATTGGACAGTGCACAATGCATAATGCATTACGTATACACTATTCTGCATGAGACGCAGATATTTGCACAGTGACGGTTTACAAGCGAGTTGCACATTGTTTGTTCTTGTAATTCTACTATTTACCAGGTTATATGATACACTTATGACCGACCACGTTTGAAATTATAACTCCCTAAATGTATAGAATTAACGCGGGTGTTATTACTGCGACAGTAGGTATTATTGTTCAAGTGCATTATTTCTGTGACAAAATGGATAACATTCACATTACATAATAATTTTAAGATGTCTCAGACGAAGGCAGAAAATCTATTAGTAACAATAAGAGTTTAGAATCAACTACTTCTATACGAAAGAAAGTTAAATTTCTTTCTAGATTCTTTTTGTTCAAGTTATAATATTAATTGAAAGGCTTGCTGCAACAATAGTGAGCTAACCCATAACATAATAATAAATAATAAATAATATTAATAAATGATATTGATAAACAAATAATAAATAATGTGATATTGATAGAAATGGATGAATAACAGAGTCCTCTATTTGTCTCAAAGATTGAGCAAACCTACTGTTATTGCTATTACGTTTGTATAATGATTCGTATTTTTCTATTACTTACACAGAAACCTCTGTAAATTCTGATTTTAATGAAATTTTATATACTCATATCTTATATAAATAAATGAAATATAATTTCATGAAAATTTGACACTTTGCGAGGTTTCTTTCTCAATAATATAACTATCTGGCGGAACGAAAGATTTTATTCTTCTCATAATATTCTTTACTTATGCACCTTATAATAAATTTTTTAAACATGTGTCAAAATATGAAAGAGTTTTTGCAATGTGTAAATAAATGTATTTTTCTCGTCAATTTAACTAGACATTATTTTCTCCATTTTTACAAAATGTAACTATTACAACAGTTACATAATTACATTCAGTACCTTAACACTTTCATACGTATGTGTACGGGAGATTGAAAGTGCAGATTGTACTTGAATACGTAAGGCGAATACATGGCCACGTTTTGTGCACGATTTATGTATGTTTGCGCAGCGTCAATCATCGCCGGCTTCTTTTTCCCTTGTTTTTTTTTTAGCTTCATTGTCGTTTTTCCAATCTGCCTCGTCTGCCGGAGTGCCAAAAGTTCAAAAGCGAGATTGCAAAACGAATCGCTAGTAATTTTGCTCGCCTCATCGTTCGCCATATTCGCGTGTGTTTCACGAAAATGGCTCGTCGTTGAGTATCGCGACACCGATTTGCCGTCAGGAAGCCTTAGAGCGAGAGATTTGAGACTTTTACGCTTTACGATCCTCCGTAATCCACATACGCCTGTTATCGGTAAAAGTATGAGAATCGCTGCGCGCTCGGATAATCGTTGAATTTATAGGAACGTCGCGCCACGTGCAGCTGCTGAAACGATTTTCGTTTGCTGAATCTCGCGGTATACAGGAGTTGAATATCAAAAGGCAGAAAAATGCTTGTAAAAAAACAGAACAGTTCGCGAAATAATTCATTAAATGAATTGAATTCTGTTTCTATATAACAACTGATACATCAACTATTTCTCAGAGTATTCTGATTATCAGACATTCCACGTAATCTATAATTCGGGAGTATCATGTAGAGTACAGTCCACTTAACGCTAGAAATGTTTCGAAGCATTTAATTGGCCAATCAGAAAAAAGAGTTTTATTAATTGACCCAATCAAAGGAATGTTCAAAGCATTTAAAGCATCACAGTTAGTCTGTTAGATATCAAAGGAACAATGGTAATCCAATCGTTTGTTAAAAATAACATTTTGTTATTTTTAACTTCCGTGTGTATCAAAATGTAAATCAATTGTTGTAAAATTGTTTTACACTATTGTTTTAGTTAAAATAGTTAAATTAATGATATATTGAATAGGAACAATGGCGATCTATAGAAATTACGAAAAATAATTCAAATTGAATATAATTGGGTATAATTTGCCATTATGAATTTAATAGAGTGCAACACTGTTAAATATTAAAGGAGCGATGGTAACCCCTTGAATTAAATAACATTTTGTTATTTTTAATTTCAATGTAAATCAATCCATTTCTAAGTTTAGATTTAAGTTGCTCATTTTAAATAACGTTCATGTATTCTTAGTAAATAACAAACTAAATTTGAACCAAATTTAATACATTTTTTAAAATTAAATTGTTTATGTATTATTTTAATTAAATTATCAATGTATTGAATAAGAGCAGTGGCAACCTGTAGAAATGATGAAAAGTAATTCAAAATATATAAGGTATATAATTAGATATAATTTAACATTATGAGTTTAACAGTATAAATGGATCATAGCCTTATTCCAGTATCGCTTATCAGCAAGTTTAAAATTTTGTAATGTGCGTTAACACACGTCTCGGAATCTCTTACTTTTCAATCCCGTTCCTTAATCTTGCACGTACTTCTGTTTCATGATCTCTTATCAAAGGATCTAATTAAACTTTTAAGACCGTCTAATGCTCGAAAATCCTTTCTGCATTAAAAGTATCACTGACTGATCCTGCTCGATTTATCCTAGTATTGTTGAAATTCTCGGAAATTACATCGAGCGAAATTCGCTATTAATCAATATTATAATTATTTATTCGGTTATCTGAAATATTTATATATTGTAAAATAATTGAGATGAAACTTTGTTCGCGAGAGGCAAGATCATTAAATCCTATCGAAAGTGGCTTTGACTAAATAAATCTTATTAATAATTTATATTTTAGGGGACACCGCACCCGTGCGCTACCTGTCTCTGAAAAGCCTTCTACCGGACACCACCGGTTACATGACTTACGAGGGCAGTACAACGCATCCCGGTTGTTGGGAAACGGCGGTCTGGCTGATCCTCAACAAACCAATCTACATCACGGCCCGAGAGGTAAACATCGATCTCTTCGGTCAGTCGATTTTCCCCCGTCGGATTTCTTCTGGCATATATATTTTTATTTTCTTTCGTCTCTTCTTTTTAAATTCCAATTCTGATTCGTGGAAGCTCGCGTGTCTCACTATAATCGAATCATCGAAGGTAATAGCCGACGCAGTAGGGCGGCACCGAGATAGTTTTATCAATAACGTTGGATCAATCAACAGATCCTGTCTCTTCTATACAGCGCATTGTTTCTGTTATTAGCTGTACGCCCTGAGGAAATTAATGCAGGGACCCTCCACCACGCCGAAAGCGCCTCTCGGTAACAATTCCAGACCGCTGCAGGGTCTTCATTATAGAACCGTGCGAACAAATATCGATTTTGCCAAGGTAATGTTACGCTGCGATTATATCATTCGATATTTCCCGCGAAGAATGTAGTGTCATTCAGGGTAATTGGCACATTAGGGTAAATCTAGTAAATAATAATATTAGTAAACTAAAATATACTGGTACACTTTTCAACATGATACAATTCTCAATGAATATGATTTGAAATTAATATTTCAGATTTAAGTTTGATAACCTGATCTCATTGTGTGAAAAATATTAAAGAATATCAAATAGGGAGAAAAATAAACTTGAATCTTGAGAATGCAAATTTCTTTTAGCATTTAGAATTGTATCACGTTTGAAATTGTAGCACCTTATACTCTGTATTATATTAATAAATTTTTAAAATATTTATTCTCTTTTAAAATATACATTCTCTTTTCGGGATTATTTTATTAAAAATAAACTACAAATTATATTTTATTAGCACAGTTATGGAATTAGAATGTGATCAGATATTTTCGAATCTAAAGTGGAATAACTTTATTAATTGAGGGAGGAGAAAAGATTGTATGAATAAATAGCAATCATAAGTGAAAATCGATGATTTAAATGAGTGAAAATTAAATGAGTGAAAAATACCATATTTGGTCAAGGCAAATTATCACTGTATTTAATAATATTTTTTTGTGAATTTATTATACAATTTCAAGCAAACTGTATACTGATTTATTTGTTGGTCTGGAAACACACTTCTGACTGAAACTGAAAGTAATATTACAAATTGTCAAAATGCCAAGTAATTTAATATTATTGATAATAAAGCTCTTTAAAACTCAGTAAATTATTTATTACCTGATTCTCTTGAATTCTAAAGACATTCTTTCTGTATATTGATTATTGCGATTAATATTTTCACATCGGTCGAATTGATAAGATGCTCGGAATTTAAGAGATTTGGGTTCGAATCCCGAGGTAATATTTTTCGTAATAAATTATTATACAGGGTTTTAAAAATGTTTATTTAGCACACGGAAAAAATAATTTTGTCGGAGTATCTGAAAATTTAACTAGATACAGATCTGAAATTTTTGTTTGGACCATCAAAATAATTATGTAGAATACTTAAACAGGTTAAAAAATGTTAAAACTTTTTCTTGGCATCAATATTTAAGCGTTTCATATAAATTTTTTATGATCCAATAAAATTATTTTCAGAAATTAATTTCAATAATTATCTAGCTAAATTTTTAGATATTTTAGCAAAACAATTCTTTTCGTACATCAATAATATTAAATTGCTTGGTAATTTAATTTGTGATATTACCATTCCAGCTTCGAATTATATTTTAAGACTGACAAATATAATTAATGGCACTCACAAGAAGTATGCAAGGACTAAAAATTTTCAATTAACAATTCTGGGTTCTTTTTAAAAGACGCTTACTGATTAGGTAAAACATTATGAATGCATAATAATCCCTTCTTTTCTAATAAAAATTTAAGTTATTCCAAATCAAGTTGCTTACTTTATAAAGAGATATTTATATTATTGTAAATTAGTTAACTACAGCCACACCGTGGCTGTAGAGTAAGAACAGTGACAGCATAACTTTTGACTTATAATCTTGAGTTTAAAATCAAGCGGGATAATCTTTTTTTTAAATTAAATATATTTTAAATTAAATATTTATTAAATTAAATTAAATTAATAAAGAAAGAAAATTCTTAAAAACGTATAAAATTCTTGGCAACTGAAATCAAAATTAATTTTTGTTAACATAATTTTAAAAAATCATAAAGTTTTTTCCACTGTCCATACTTTGTTTATTGCAAAAGAAATTTATTCGAGGAAACTGTTGTAGTACTTCTTGGAAGCGATAATACATATTCTATGATTTTACTATTTGGCAAAATTCATTTTTCAGCTGGACTTTTTTATTATTTTTTACTAAAATCGAGACGATTGTTCTATCTCGCCGAAATCGAAATATCTAGTCAGATTATTCATAGCATTTAAGTAGATGGATATGATTTTTAACGTTCAATTCGATTTTTTGTACTATTTATACGTTTATTGAAAATTTATCAGCAGAAGATATCCTTGCTAAAAATACCTTGAGTGATCATAAAAGAATCAATCTCGCCAGTATTTCTCACGGAGCTGCAACTTAAATGCACTTTCTGTGTTATTCCGGCAGCGGGGAAACGCCAAGTGCCCGTCGATGGCGCAGGACATGCATTATAGAGGTAACACACGATGTTAGCCAGGCTCCAGGAGCCCCTAAACTTCGTGCTTCACCGCGAAGGGATCGTCTCGATGAGAATTTGAAAAGATGACTTTTTCCTTCCAGCCAACACGTGGCGGGACGACGGATCCCTATCGCACAACGTAGTCTGAGGCCATCCCGCGGCAGGACCACAAGAGAGGACTTTTCTTTAAAGGAATAAAACGAAATAAGTTCACATGTGGTGCGAAGGAGAAAGAAGGATGCTGATGGAAAAAGCTATAATTTCTAACGGGAGAATGAAGAAATTGTGTCGTGGCTGTGTGAAAAAAAGATAGAACGTAAATTTTTGAATAAGTAAGCCGACGCGAAATGAGAATACCCTTTATTCTCAAAATGGACACAAAATGTTGTATTGTAATCTACTATGTTATGCAGAAGTTACATGTACATAATTATCTGCAAATTATATAATTATATATAATTTATAGATAAGTTTGCCACATCAATCAAATTTTGTTTCATTCTCCGGAGTAGTGAGGACAAAGTTGCGTGTTGCTACAGCACTAACGTAATTCTCGTAATACGAGTGATCAAAGAAGCTTTAAGTGTCTTGTTGGGATACAGATTTTCGTTTAATGCTGTTTGTAAGTTTACGCATTGAAGACTCTTATAACAAGTTATCAAGGATGGGCGCTACTTAAAATAATACGTGTTATTATAAATTATGATGATTATAT